TGTTGCTCGGCACACAGGGGTTGCTTAATAAATGTAAGTTTTATTGTTACTGCTTGTGTTGCTTTTCTTAATCCGTTTACAGAGGGTGGGCACAGCGTCTCGTGTCTCAGTGCCCCCAGCATGCTGTGCAGCAGGGAGACAGGCGCTGTGGGAGTGGGATGGAGCTGGTAGACATTTGGGGACCTGGGCTGTTTGCCAGTGCAGGTCCAGTCTAGGACCTGCGAGGGCAGGTGCCATGCCTGGGGTCTGAGTCAGGGGCCCCTTTGTCCTCCAGGGCCAGGGGGTCGGGGGCACAGAGGTGAGGGATGGCCATCTAGGTTGGGGGTGGTTGCCATATGCTCTCTCAGACCTGGAGTTTGTCTTAAAGAATGGGGGCTAAGTTGGTAAGGAAGGTAAACTGGCCATTTTTAACATTACCTGTCCCCCAACTGCAAATGGCTTGTGGATGCCAAGCTCCGCCTTGGCTACTTGACTGTCCTAGGCAGCTGTGACTGAAAGCCTCCCCACTGAGCAGAGCCCCGATCAAGGGAAGCACCAGACCTGTCTTCCCATCCTCAGGGACGGGAGGGGGTGGTGTGGGTGGGAGCACAGCCCTGGCGTGGGCGGGAGCCAGGGCCTGGGGTGCTGTTGGTCGGCTTTGTGTGAGGGTGCTGCTCCGTGAGGCCCTGAGTCAGCCGCTGTGGGGGAAGCGTGAGGAAGCACGTTCTCAAGAAGGGAACGGGCCCGTGTTCTCTGCCTGTAAAGCGTGGCAACGAGCCCCCCTGCCCCGTGCTCCTCCAGAGACAGTGTTTGCCCTGCCTGCTGCCCGGGCCCCGCAGAGCCCCTCAGGCCTGGAGGCTGAGGAAGCATTGGAGTGAAGTGCAGTGGTCGCCGCCGCCAGCATGCCTTGGTTTGCCTCACAGTAACTGTGTTTGCAGCTTCCAGATGGAGGGAGGGGGCAGCAGCCGGGGTTTGCCACGTGACACTAACGGGTGGTCCCCACTGGCCTTCTCGTGGCTCTGGCCCTCTGCCCCTAACCTGTTCCCCGGCCGGTGGGTCAGGGCCTGAGCATCTGCCCTGCGTGCTCGGGGGTCAGAGGGCAGTAGCCCTGGGATCCCCAGGCTGTGAACAAGGAACTGGCATGCCAGCCCCACAGGTGCAGGAGTTGGGGCAGCCCGGCACTGATGTCCCCAAGGGCTGCAGGACCTGTGAAGAGGTCGGGCCAGTCTTTCCTGCCTGATCTGCAGTGTGCATCCTGACTGCTCACCCTGCCACGTGAACCGTGACACGTCAAAAGCTCCAGGGAGAAGGTGCTGGATGTTGGTGCAGAGAGGGCTCCTCAGGGTAACTCAGTCCCATTCCACTTGGCCAACATGGTTCCTGTGCAGAACGCACAACTTTGATGGGTGTTTCTGTTCCTTTTCAGCTAGAGGTTGCTGGGAGGTGGGGGAACAGTAGGCCCTTGAGTTGAGGGTGAGGATGGGACCCTGTGGAGCTGCAGGGGTCAGAGAAGCCTCTGGACTCAAATTCTTCACCTGATAGATACCCAGGCTTAATCTTTCTGTGCCTCGGTTTTCTCAGTTTATATGTGGAGGATGTTGTGAGTTCCTCACAGGCTGTGCTTTTGACCTTATAAGTAAGGTGACCTGGCACAGGAAGGCGGTAGGCATCCTAACTGAGGGTCTTCGGCATTTTCAGCAGACACTTGACCAGAATTTATCAGTGGCATTCTGAAAAAGATGTGAGAGGTCCATCCCAGATGGCAGGTAACCGTGGCAAGTCCAGGGTCGTAGCGAGAAGAGCATGTGGCTGCTGCATGGGCAAGACCCGAGCGAACATCGCGCATTTGAGAGAACACACACCTCTTCTTCTGCACAGAAGCTCTCACAGAAGCCAAGTGGTCTTGCTGCCTGTGACGGGCATTTATAAGCGCTTCCAGCCCTGAAGACAGGAAGGGACTCCTGCGTGCCCTAAGGAAGATAAAAGTGTGTTTGCTGTTGCATTGTTAAGCGTTTTTACTGTGCCCTTAGAGTTTTTGGAAATTGGACATGTGCGTCAAACACAGAGCTAGGAACACAAGGCAGGGGCCAGCTCCTCCCAAGGACACTTTGCATGTGGGCTTTGGGGGTTTTTTTTAAACCCACACACCTAATTCATGTATTCTGCAGTTGGGTCCCATTGGCTTTCCTCAGTAGAGTCTGACGCCACTTGCTGACCTCTCATGCATTCCCTGGTGGCTGCCTGTGTGCTAGGAGGGTGGAGTGGGAGCCCTGATCCGTGAGCAATGTAGCTGCCCTGAGGTGGAGTGGGAAGAGGCGGCAGAGGTGCCAAGTGCTGGTTCAGCCACCTGGTGATGCTTAACCAGCTATCCGGTTAGCCAGGGTTCTTCCCTCTTACACCTCAGGCTGCTCCTAGGAGCTTCCCTCATGCGTCCATCCACCGCATGTCGTGGGAGGCAAGCACTGTGGCCCTGTTTGTAGCAGCAGAAGGTCTGAGGCCAAGTGAATCCCATGTGGGATTCTTAGGAAACTTAGGAGCTTTGGGGACAATGAGGTAGGATCTTATATGCTGATATAGAAGAATCTCCAAGGGGCGCCTGGGTGGCTCAGTCAGTTGGACGTCTGCCTTCGGCTCAGGTCATGATCTCAGGGTCGTGGGATCGAGCCCCACGTCGGGCGCTCTGCTCGGTGGAGAGTCTGCTTCTCCCTCTCCCTCTGCCTGCTTCTCTGCCTACTTGTGCTCTCTCTCTATATCTATCAAATAAAGAAATAAAATCTTTAAAAAAAAAAAAAAAGAATCTCCAAGATGTCAGAGCAGAAGGGGACCAACGTAGACCAGAAGGAAGAAACTGCCCCACCTGTAGGGAGGAGGGAGTCATACGTCCAAAAAGGAGCAGCAGAGGCTGGCTCACCCTGGTGGCTTTGGGTGGGAAGACGAAAGGGGCAGAGATGAGAGAGACACTCAGACAAGGATCTCACCACCACTCATCAGTCACAACTCGATGTTGACCTCTGGCCCCTCCAGATGGTATTACCAACCTCTTGGGTCGTCTCTCCTCAGAAGGCCTTCCCCCCGCCGCCTCCAGGATTGGTCATCTCTCCTCAGGAAGCCTGCCCTCTGGATCAGGTCATCCCTCCTCAGAAAGTCTTGCTTGGGATTGGTCATGTTTCTTTAGGAAGGTCCCCCTCGGGATCAGTCCTCTCTCCTCAGAATGTCTTGCTCAGGATCGGTCATCTCTCCTCAGGAAGCCTCCCCTCAGGATCAGTCGTTTCTCCTCAGGAAGTCTCGCTCAGGATTGGCCATCTCCTCAGGAAGCCTCCCCTTGAGATTGGGTCATCCCTCTTCAGGAAGTGTTGCTCAGGATTGGTTATGTCTTCTCAGGAAGCCTCCCCTCAGTATTGGTCATCTCTCTTCAGGAAGCCTCTCCTCAGGATTGGTCATCTCTCCTCAGAAAGTCTTACTCGGGATTGGTCATGTCTCCTTAGGAAGGCCCTCCTTGGAATTGGTCATTTCTCCTCAGAAAGTCTTGCTCAGGATCAGGTCATCCCTCCTCAGAAAGTCTCGCTCAGGATTGGTCATCTCTCTTAGACCGCCCCCCAACGCACACACACATCTCAGGATAGGTAATTTCTCCTCAGGAAGTCTTGCTCAGGATTGGTTATCTCATCTCAGGAAGCCTCCGCTCAGGATTGGTTATCTTTCCTCAGAAAGTCTTACTCGGGATTGGTCATCTCTCCTCAGGAAGCCTCCTCTCAGGATCAGGTCATCCCTCCTCAGAAAGTCTCGCTCAGGATTGGCCATCTCCTCAGGAAGCCTCCTCTCAAGATCAGGTCATCCCTCCTCAGAAAGTCTCGCTCAGGATTGGTCATCTCTCTTCAGGAAGACCCCCCCCACACACACACACACACATGCCTAAGGGTAGGTAATTTCTCCTCAGGAAGTCTTGCTCAGGATTGGTTATCTCTCCTCGGGAAGCCTCCCCTCAGGATGGGTCATCTCTCTTCAGGAAGCCTCCCCTCAGGATGGGTCATCTCTCTTCAGGAAGCCTCCCCTCAGGATTGGTCATATCTCCTCAGAAAGTCTTACTCAGGATTGGTCATGTCTCAGGAATCCTCGCTCAGGATGGGTCATCTCTCCTCAGGAAGCCTCCCATCAGGATCAGGTCATTCCTCCTCAGAAAGTTTTGCTCAAGATTGGCCATCTCCTCAGGAAGCCTTCCCTTGAGATCGGGTCATCCCTCTCAGAAAGTCTCACTCAGGATTGGTCATCTCTCTTCAGGAAGACCCCCCCACACACACATACCTCAAGATAGGTAATTTCTCCTCAGGAAGTCTTGTTCAGGATTGGTTATCTCTCCTCAGGAAGCCTCCCCTCAGGATTGGTCATCTCTCCTCAAAGTCTTACTCGGGATTGGTCATGTCTCCTCCGGAAGCCTCCCCTCTGGATTGAGTCATCCCTCCTCAGAAAGTCTTGCACGGGATTAGTCATGTCTCCTCAGGAAGGCCCCCCTCGGGATCGGTCATCTCTCCTCAGAAAGTCTTGCTCGGGATCCGTCATCTCTCCTCAGGAAGCCTCCCCTCAGGATCGGGTCATGCCTCCTCAAAAAATCTTGCTCAGGATCAGTCATTTCTCTTCAGGAAGTCTCACTCAGGATTGGCCATCTCCTCAGGAAGCCTCCTCTTGAGATCAGATCATCCCTTCTCAGAAAGTCTCACTCGGGATTGGTCATCTCTCTTCAGGAAGCCCCCCCCCCCACACACACATACCTCAGGATAGGTAATTTCTCCTCAGAAAGTTTCACTCGGCATTGGTCTTGTCTCCTCAGGAAGCCTCCCCTCGGGATCAGGCTATTTCTCCTCCACTGTTTGCCAACTTCTGGCCTGTGTGGAGAAGCTCAATGCCATGGTTTCTCAGTCCATTCTTTGTTAGGATCTCTCTTTGTCCTCAATGTTTCTGGCAAGCTGGCCCCTTGGAGAACATTCTAATCTGGACATTTATATTCTTCAGTTCTGAGAAAACACATTGCAGATTTTTCTCCCTGTGTTCTTTTTCTGGATGTCCGGGAAGAATTGTTTCTTGCCACTTGGCTGGCTTGTTTTTCTAATTTTATTGCCTTTTCTGTTTTCTACTTTAGTCTTTTTAATTTGCTTTCTAGGAGTTTCCCTCAACTTTTTTTCCAATCCTTCCATTGATTGTTTTTTGCTTTGGTCGCTGTAGAAATAACCCAGAGTTCTGTTTTGTTCTATCTCTGTTGTGTTTAACAGTGTCTTTTATTAACGGCACAATCTTTTTTGCTTCTGGGGATATTAATACTACTTGTGTGCTTCTTTCTTCTTGTTTTTGTGAGTTTCTTTCTGGCATGGTCTTCATCTCCCCCAGGTGAGCCCTCTGTGGCCTTGGCTTGTCTAGATCACAGGCTTCCCAGGAGCACTCTCATTGAGGGCCTGGCCCGGGGCAGGGCTCACGTGCTCGGGGTTGGCCTGTGGTGTCACTGGGGGCGCTCTCTGGCCTTCAGTACCCTGGCCCTACCTCATACCTTCGTGTCTGCCTCCTGCCAGCCTCTGGGTTCCTATGTGGCTGTCTCACAGCTGGCGCCCTAGGGTCTGGTCTGCTCATTCACTTCTCACTTGTTTGCTGCCCTCCACTTCTGGAACCCTGCTGCTGGCACTGCTGCCCCAGCCCTTCGCTGTTCATAGCCCTGTTTTGTCCCTTACTCACTGGGGTCGCCAGGGTTTAGAGGTCAGGGCATCCAGCCCACTGTCTTCCACCCACCTCGGCCTGGCCTCTGTTCCTGAGTGTTTTTAACTTAATGGAGATCGTGCTCTGTCCCTTGCTTTTTCCTCTTCTCACCCTTACAGTAGAACGTTTCCTCATGCTTCTAAAAACCGTAGGAATGTTTACGATGGCCAGTTTGGCCCGTTTGTGTAAGTGACACTATCATTCACCATTTAGCTTCTCCCTGTGTTTGAGTGTTAAGAATGATGCTGAAATGAGCATCCTGAGCATAAAACATTTCAGGTCAGTGGTGTATGACCTTGGAAGCAAATTCCTGCCCAGGAATTTCTGTCAGGGAAGCTGAAGCCTTATAAGGGTGCTTCTAGAGGGAAAGGAAGGTCTTTCATGGTTGTTTCCCTTAATCTGGACAAAGAGTCGTAACGTGCCCTTTCACAGTCAGTGCCCCCGAACCTGCCCACAGGTAGCTGCTGGGCCCACGGTGCCACCCTCCAGTTCTCCCATCTGGGCAGGCTCCTCAGCCAAGGTGGGAGTTACTGACCCCCATGCTCTCCGCAGTGGGGACAGGACAGAGCTCTAACTTGAAACAGAGCGAGAGAGACCGACCCCTGGGTCGCAGAGGTCGCTTGCAGGGCCTCAGGATGGACTCGGCCTTGCAGCAGGGTGGAGCCAGGCCCTCTGCGCCTTGGTCTCCCCTCCGTGGACAGGTTTGGGCCCCAAGCTCTGTAGGAGCAGGACTCTGAGGTCAGAGAGCAGTGAGGGGCTGACGGTGCCCAGGGAGGAAGGGTAGTTGCCCCTCCAGCCGGTGGCAAGCAGGTGGGCCCCTCCTCTCACTCAGGGGCCTGCAGAGCTGAGCTTGCCCAGAAGAACCTGCACCGCGGTGACCAGGCACAATTTGTGGAGGGCAGAACGCATAGATTGTTCTTTTAGCACAAGTTTCTGAATAAAGACCTCTTTGTGGAAAGCAGCGTTTGCCTTGGGCCCAGTTCTGCCTCTCCTTGCAGAGGGCAGAAGCTGGTTACATGCACAGGTGGTGAATGAGCCGAATCTTCTCTTCACAGCCGGGTGGAGAAGGCTGTACACTGTGCCCTCCCTAGTCCTGAATGCTGACCAGACCCCGGGCCGGCAGGGTGGGCTGGCCAGGGCTGCCTGATCTTACCCCCCACCCCGCCGGCGCAGCCCTACTGTGCTTCCGCTGCTCCCGTTAGGCCCTCCTCCCTCTCGTGCTTCTTCCTCACCTCCTCCTGGGTCTCCCCAGGCCATCCCAGGGGCTGCCCGCCGGGTGGCCATCCCGAAAAGCTGGCTCTTTTGGGTCTTTGTGATGCTCTGCAGGGCTGTGAGCGGCCTCTCAGGAGGGACTGCTTGTGGCCATGATGTGGGGCTCTCCAGATAGGAACTCAGGGTTCCAGGGCCCACCCTAGCAGGCAGATGCACTGTGGTCAAGGACCCTAGACAATGGGGAGTCCTGTGGGCTGTGGGTTTTCCTCTGCTGCGTGAGAGAACCTGGAACCTGACCCTGGGCTTGTGGGGGGACGGACCCTGACACGTGGAAGGCCATGCGTAGCACAAGGATGTGGGAAATGTTCGGTCCTGCTGGCCAGGGTGATGTGGAAGAGTTAGAGTTCTCTATCTAGAACACCTGCACGCTGGTGACAGTTACCATTGCGTACCTAATGGAACGACTCCGGCAGGCGCCCCGTTGTAACCCCCCGGCCGGACACCACAGACACATCTGTGTCCTGTGTTCACGTCTGCTTCCCCTTCAGATGCTGGATGAGAACCACCACCTGATACAGTGTATCCTGGACTACCAGAGCAAGGGCAAGACGGCCGAGTGCACCCAGTAAGTGGCCGTCAGGCTATGGAGGTCACCCTCAGAGGATGGCTCCCCAAGGAGGGGGAGAAGGTTTGGAGGGACATGGAAGTGTGGGAGGAGAGGGTACCGCTGGTGGACATGCCGGGGGACAGTGAGCTCCTCCAGGTAGGACCTTGTGTGACCCCCCAGGGCTGGACGCAGAATAGGTGCATGAGCCAGCTGTCTGAGGCCCCCAGACGTGTGACGCATGTGAGCAGCCACCACGTGCCTGGGGGCTTTCCCCACCCCACCCCCTGGCCTGTTTGGGGGAACCTCTTCAGGGGTGCGGAGGTACCGAGTCCGCCTGGTGTCAGGGTCCGATGGAGGAGGCCTTGTTCTCTGGTACCCCTTCCTGTGTCTCCCTCAGTCTCTGTCTTGGGCCTCCTCGTGCCTCCTCATGCCTTCTGCCCCCTCCTCCCACTCCCATCCTCTGAACAGACCTGCTGACACCTCTCCCTTGGCCACCACCTTGGGGTCTTTCAGCGTGTTGTCATCAGACAGGATCCCACTCAGGACTCAGGCTGGACCCTGTTCCCTGCCTGGCCCTGTCCTGGACCACAGAGCACTCTTGCCTGCCCTGTCCCTGGGCATTGTCAGGGGTCCACGTCCCCCGGGGGCTTCGCTGCAAGGCCAGGCTGCCCTGGGTGCACGTTGTCAGATGGGCCTGCAGCCTCCTCTGCCTCACCGTGTGCCCCCGACCTGCAGGTACCAGCAGATCCTGCACCGGAACCTGGTCTACCTGGCCACGATTGCGGACTCCAACCAGAACATGCAGTCCCTGCTCCCTGCCGTGAGTGCCCACACACGGGGGACAGTGGGCCCCACCCTTGCCCAGCGCAGTCAGGCACGGCCTCAGACTGCCAGTTCGGGGAGCAGACGTCTGAGCGCGTTACCTAGAGTAACCAAGTAACAGACAGAGGCATGGGAAGGGGGCGGGAGGCCAGTCAGGCAGAGTCTGGAGTGCACTGGTCAGAATCGTGACATCAATTTCTTTAGCAAAGGGAGGTGACCCCGAGGAACCAAACCTAGAAATGGTGGGAGGCAGGTCTCAGGAAGACAGGAAGTGGCTCAGGGATTCTTGCTCTTTATCGCTGGCCCTGAGCGCGATTGGAACGGTGGTGGCCCAGGAACGGACACTGCTCTGATTTAGCAGCAAAACTGTACCCGGTGCAGGGACACTTTCAATGTCAGTGTAAATGGTCTGGTGTCTAACTTTTTTAAACCCATTTTCCCGAAATCAAATTACTGTTGCAAAGTCAAGGTCCGGCAGAGGCTGCCTCCTGCCTGGGGAATAGGAAGGCACAGCCCCAAGAGGGCCCGGCCTGCGTTGACCATGGTGGGCACAGAGGTTTCGGGACAGTCCTGTCACCGGGAACAGCTTATCCCTCGATGCCCCCGAGTCCCCTGGAACGTGACAGCATAAGTGTCAGGAAGTGTTTTGCTGATAAAATCGTTAAAACAACTTGCTTGGCCTATGAAATTGCAACTCCTCACCCTAGAGATACCAGTGGATCCTGGTGGGAACTTTGTTTTCTCAGCCGGGTCCAGGCAGCATGTGTGTCCGACACTTCAGAGCTGCTGTATGGTCTGGATCTAGGAGATGAGGGTGTAGGGGTCACTCAGGCCCGTCACCCTCCACATCTGATCAGAATTGGGCTTGCGCAGGCAGGGCACACGGAGAGGAGGAGCGATGGGAATGCCAGTGCTAAGACACAGGGCAGTCAGTGCAAAGGCCCTGGGGCGTGGGGTGGTGTGGATGAGGGACACACAGAATCCTGGCCAGCTGAGGCCAAGGGGGAGGGGCAGGGGTGTGGAGTGAGATGAGGTAGATGCAGTCTGGTGGGCTGGCGAGCTGGCTCCCTGTAGCTCCAATAAAGAGGACCTAACTTTGAATTTCCAAGTTTGTGTTGACTTAAGTTCTGAACGTTCACACAAGAATGCTTGGTGTATCATGTCCTTGGCCTGAGATGTTTGGGCCTAGTCACTCGCAGTCATCTGATCAAATGTGAGAGCAACAGGGGATTATAGACATTTGCCAAGTGGCCATGAAATGTGGGGGCAGATCTCATGGGCTGCCAAATCCCTGGAGGGCTTCAGGTGGTTATTCTCTGGGTTAACCATCCTCCCTGTTACTCCCTGTTGCCTGCAGCCGCCAACCCAGAACATGAACCTGGGCCCCGGAGCACTGTCCCAGAGCAGCTCCAGCCAGGGCCTGCACTCCCAGGGCAGCCTCAGCGATGCCGTTGGCACGGGCCTGCCCCCGTCCTCCCTCATGCAGGGCCAGATCGGGAACGGTGAGTAGCCCTGAGCCCGTCAGGGTGGGGGTTGGGTCCTGGCAGCACGTCACCTGCTCAGGCTTCCAGGTGGCTGGCTGTCTCAGCAGGTACCCCGTGCCCTGTAGAGCTAAGTGTGGGACCTGTCTCCTCCCAGAGGTCCTGGCTGCCGGCCAGCTGCCATGCCCGGGCGCCCGAGCATGGGGGGTAACACGCAAAGGGAATAAAGCACTCTAGATCGTCTACTCTGCTTTGACACGGCCACGTGATGGCCACCTCAAATGGACGCGTGGGGTTCCATGTGGATTTTTTTAAACAAGAACAGAAAGGTTATCCTTGGAGAAGGAACTACCGATAGCCGTCGGGATGGCGAACGGGCGAGTCCTCTGCATGGTCGGCACGTGTGCTCGTTTCTTTGTTCGTCACTTAATCCTTTACTTTATTTGTGGTGCTGTTGACCGTGGGTTCGCCTCCCTCCCCACGATCACGTGAAGGAACTCGGGATGTCTGGCAACAAGGCCGGTCTTCCATGGGGTCAAGGCCCTCCTTGTGCTCCTGGCAGGTCCAAACCACGTGTCCATGCAGCAGACAGCTCAGAGCACGCTGCCCACCACCTCCATGAGTATGTCAGGCAGCGGCCACGGCTCGGGGCCTGGCTACAGCCACTCGGGACCCGCCTCGCAGAGCGTGCCCCTGCAGGGCCAGGGCGCCATCGGCAACTACGTGTCACGGGCCAACATCAACATGCAGTCCAACCCAGGTACCACCCTGCTCCGCCCTAGGGCACCACCCCAGCCCCCAGGACTCCTGCCCAACCCCGGGACAGTCCCTGGGGCCCTCTGAAATGTGTGCAGGCTGTGCACAAGGTGCTGGGGGCTTCTGAAGTGCCGGGGACCCTGGGTCCGGCTCTGTGGAGGGATTCCCGCGGTTCCCTGTGGCAGCTCCAGGGAAGTCTCTGCCGAGGGGTGACACCCTGCCTGGGAGACGGAGCCAGGCTCACCTAGGATGGGGGGCGGCGTAGGCAGGGTGCGGGGCCACAGACGCTGGGCCACGGGGTCCCCGTGGGCTGAGCACGGGGCGCTGAGCAGCGGGTAGCATCGGGCCCAAATGCAGATGTCCCAGAGTGTCAGGCGCCGGAGTTCAAAGGCTTAATACAGAAAAGGGAGAACACACAGTATCTCCTCCGTTTATTTTTACTATCAATTATATACTGAAAACGAGGATATTTTGGATATAATGAGTCAAATAAAATATATTACTAAAATAGATTTCACCTGTTTGCTTCTATCATTTGACATGGTTCTCCTCCCAGCCCATCGCATAGTGCTGCCCTAGTGGGTTCTGAGCAGGGGTGGCACGACTGGATGGGCCAAGGGGCAGAGGCTGCCCACCGAGAGCCTTAGAGGCCCAAGTCTCGGGGGCGGGCACAGGCCTGGCTCCTCTGGGACCAGCCTTGGGGATTTGGGAGGAGAGGACTCGTGTTTTTCCTGTGCGTGGAGGCGGCCTGGGAGAAGGGTGCCGTCGGGGTCTGGGGTGAGGGGTGAGGGTGCCTGCCCGGGGAGCTTCTCGGGGTTATTCGGCTCTGTCGTGTCGCCCAGTGTCCATGATGCACCAGCAGGCAGCCTCGTCTCACTACAACTCGGCACAGGGCGGGAGTCAGCATTACCAGGGCCAGTCGTCCATCGCCATGATGGGCCAGAGCGGCCAGGGGAGCAGCATGATGGGGCAGCGGCCCATGGCGCCCTACCGGCCCTCCCAGCAAGGTAATGCCCGCGCCGTGCCGTTCTCCCTGAGAAGCTGAACTCCCTGAGAAGTTCTTAGTATCGAGCGAGGAGGTTGGGGGTCCGGAGCCGCGTGGGGCTCACGGAACATGGAAGGTTGAAAGCCGGTGCTGCTCCCGGAGGCGGACCAGGCTCGAGCCGCTGTAGGGGTGGAGTCGGGCGCAGTGTCCGAAGCAGGGGCTGGGGCGGTCGTGTTTGTGAGTACCAAGTCCGGGGTACCCGGGCTGGACGTGGGGGAGAATTCCCGGGTGCCCCGGGGGGGCCATCGAGGGGGTCCTCTGGAGACAGAACAGTGTCCTGAGTTAACGCCCCATGTGCGCTGCCCGCCCCCAGGGTCGTCCCAGCAGTACCTGGGCCAGGAGGAATACTACGGTGGCGAGCAGTATGGTCACAGCCAGGCCGCCTCGGAGCCCATGGGCCAGCAGTACTACCCTGACGGTGAGGCCCGCGCCCGCGCCGGCGGCGACACCGGGGTCGCGGAGGCTACTGACCGCTGCCCTCCGCGCACTCCCGTTCAGACCTGCTGCCCCCACTTCTGCCAGCCCAGCCCCCAGGGCCCCCGCGCCCGAGTGTGTTTGGGGATGAGGGTGAGGGCTGGCCTCTGCCGAGAGAAGCCTCCGGCTCGGGCCGCAGCTGCTCACGGACGTGAGGCTCCTCGCCCCCCTTCCAAAGGGCAGTAGGGGTTACAGCTGGGATGAATAGGTGCATAAAACTGTTTCGAAAGAGGGACGCAGGCATCATTGTGAACGCCTTCAGGAAGGGGACGAAGCTGAGCTGGCTGTTTGTAGCTGCTGCTCAGTCTCGGCAGATGGTTTTCCTTCCACGCTCACCTTTCAGTCATTTTAAATCGTCTCAGGGTTCGTGGAGGTGGTGTAGAGGATGGGTGGGATTTGGGGAGGGGGGCGACACTAGGCAGGGAGCGTATGTGAGGTGGGGGGGCTGAGGCCAGCGTGGGGCTGTCCCCCAACAGAACAGTGGCAAAGTCCTCCTGAGGTGCCCCCCAGCAGCACCCCCGGGAGCCAGCAGCAGGATGGCAGTGCCGGGGGAGCTTGTCACGTGTCGGGCACTGGACGCGCCCTCTCTGTATATGCCGTGACTAATGGACTCCTCACGCTCACCCCACAAGTAGGGGCTGCATCTTAGAGGGAGGAACGGAGGCCGGGAGGTGGTAGGAAGCTTCTTCGTGGGCTTAGTGCAGGGAAAATGGATCCAGGTCCGGGTCTGGACGTTCCTGAGCCGACAGCGTTGCCCATTCAGTTTACGGCCGTCTGGGCCTCCGCTGACTGCACGTGGCCTGTGTGTGCCCGCAGGACACGGCGACTACGCCTACCAGCAGTCATCCTACACGGAGCAGAGCTACGACCGGTCCTTTGAGGAGTCCACGCAGCACTACTACGAGGGCGGTAAGGAGCGCAAGGGCCACGCGGCGAGCTCCGAGTCACACGCGCACCCGCAGCAGGTGGTGCAGGGCTGTGTGAGGCCGCGTGTACTCGCGAAGGCGGCAAATGCAGGCCGCGGAACACGTCCCCGTTCACGACGCAGGTGGGTGGAGGGGGCTTGACTGGCCGCGTGGGGGTCGCAGGGGCCCAGATTCCACCATCGGGCTCGGCTGGGCAGCGTGGGGCTTGTGAGCTCGGTTGAACGCCCTCAGGAGCTCCAGACTCGGTCGGGGAGGCTCAGGCACCGCGTGCCCCTCCTGAGCCAGCCGGCCAGTGCCTGTGGACTGTGTGGCTTCCTTGGGTTCGGCCCGGGCATTTCTTCAAACCCCTGCTGGCCAGATAAAGCCTGCAGCAGCCCCCACCCCCCCCACCCCCCCACGGCATTCCTCAGTGGTGCTGCCCTGGGGGCTGTCCGGGGCTGTCCAGCAGAGGTGGCGTGAGGTGGGGAGGAGAGAGGCCGGCTGTAGCAACAGAAAGCCCGTGACTGGCACGCGCCCGTTTCCCCGCTGCAAGTACTCCCACCTGCGCCGCCGTCCGGCCTCCAGCGTGAGGTCAGCACACACGCAACGGGGAGGAAATCTGCACATCCGCTTCTCAGCGGGGTCCCCAGAGAGCAAAGGTACTTCCCCCTGTCCTTGGGAGACCCCAAGAGAAGAGAAAACCGTAAAGTCACGGGCAGCGGGCTCAGCCCTGGCTTCCTGGTCCAGGCGTCCGAAGTGGGCACAGCGTGAGGGTTGGTAGCAGGGCCCCCGGGGAAGGAAACACGAGCAATAAACATGAGATGGGCAGCTTGTGAATCCACATGTTTTGGGTGGCTTTTTAAAAGAGTTACGCTAAGAATACAACAAAATTTGCCGTTGGAACCATTTCTGAGTGTATAGTTGAGTAGCATGAAACGCATTCACATCATCCGTCTCCAGAACTCGCCCCCGTCAGACCCTGGCTCCCGGGCCGCCCCCGGCACCCCCTGCTCTCCTGTCTATCTCTGCACGTGATGTCCCTAGGTCCTTACGTAAGTGGGACCCTACATGTTTGTCATTCTGACTGGCCTGTGTCACTGGGCGTGACATCCTTGAGTTCATGGGTGTGGTAGCAGATGTCAGGATTCCCTTTCGAGGCAGAATTGTATTCTGTTGTGTGGATGCACCATGGTTTGCTCATCCATTCAACTGTCAACGGACCCTTTTGGGTCGCTTCTATGTCTTGGCTGTTGTGAATCCTGCTGCTGGCAACGTGGGTGTGCAAATCTGTCTTCAAGTCCTTGCTTTCATTTCCTTTGTGTTAATGCCCAGGAGTAGAATTATGGATCGTAGGGTGATTCTGTGCTTAATTATTTGAAGAACTGCCAGAAGGTTTTAAACGCACAGGTTCGTTTTTTAGTTACAATGTTAGGAGATTGTAGGACATTTGGAGACTACAGGAGAATCGCCCAGAAGGCTGTGCTGGGGTCAGTTACAAGTGTTTCCCAGCAATGGCTTCCCAGGTCCCCACGTTTGGGTACCACTCACTGACATGGCTCAGACGCAGCCTTCTTGTCCCAGGGAGTCTGGCTCTGAGACCCCGAGATGGCCTGTGTCTGGTGCAGTCACCCAGTGAGGCAGGTCTTCCCCCGACCCCAGCAGCTGCCCATGTTGGCCCCTCCTGTTCCCAAAGCTGGTGCAATGACCTGGCCGTCACCCCTGGCTGGATTTGAAGCCTGATAATGGATATAGAACAAGAGAACCAAAACATACCAACCATCTCAAAGTAAAATTATTTATGAGTAATTCAATGTTCCTTATCATTCTTAGGAACTGATTAAGTGTTGGCCATTCGTAGTGAACAGGTAACGCTTTCTTCCTGCCTTCTCAGTCGCCACAACTGCCCTTGGTCTTGCCTTCTGTTAACGACCACAGTAAACTCGCCAGTGATCCCACCTGTGACCACCTTGGCCCTTCCCCCATCCACACAGTTTCCCCAGGTGTTGTTCTTCTCCAGTCACACCTAGGCTGCTTCTCATCTCAGCTTCCACTCTTGAAGATGGGTATCCGCGAACATTCTCTGGGTGCATCACATCCCCTCACCTTGGACCATTCCTGAGACAGGACCCTGGCCTAATGGCAGCTCTGCAGGCGCTTGACTGTGCTGGCCGGCCCATGTCACTGACATGAGTATGGGAGGTTCGAGGGACCGCAGGCTGACCAGGGAAAAGATGCGCCCGCGCCGGGCAGCAGAGCCCAAGCAGCCTCCCTGGATGGTGCTTGGACAGGGCGCGTGAGGAGCCGGCCCTCGCAGCGGAAGACCTGCGGAGAGGCTGCAGCCAGGGGCCATGCTCCAGAGGGGACATCCCGGGGGGAGCGCTCCTGTCCTGGGGAGAGCACCAGCAGCCCGGCTCAAGCCCAGCGGCCCGTTGCTGCAGGGCGCTGACCCACTGCCTGTAGCTAGCAGCTGCCGGTGACGGTTAACCAGGTACGCCAAGCAGGGGGCCCTACGTGGCTAAAAACCTGTGTGTCTGGGACGTTTGAAATACAATTCAGTGTGTAAAAGGTAGAGTTTGGCGCGCTCGGGTGTCTGCACTGCTGTTCTCAGCCTGCCGGGAAGAGGTGCACCGCCCCGGGGCCATCTGGAGCTTCTCCCGGCAAGCGAAGCGCTCCTCCCGGCAAGCGAAGCGCTCCTCCATCAGCCCTGCCCTCTCCGCTCCTCCCTGGATGCCAGTGCTCAGCCTTCCCCACCAGGAGGGGCCTCTGCTTACCTCCAGCACTGCTGTATCCAAGTGAGGGTCCGAGGCAGAAACGATTGCCCCGAACACAAGCTCAGGATGTGCCTTTTGAACTTCAAAGTGCGCATTTTTATACCTTCATTTTTGGGTTACATGTTCTTGCCTTCCGTGATTGATGGAAAGTTTGCTAAAACACTTAGTAACCTCTTCTAAGGCAAGTGTGGCAGATGGCATGGTTTCCTCCTGAATCTGGAAGCGTTTTGTTCCATCTTGTTAATTGGACCCCTACTTGGGACTCCCCAAACTTGTGTTATGAGGCCAGGTCACCCCACAGTGGGTGGCATTACCAGGTCTTGCTGAGAGGCAGATGGTGTTGTGCTTTGAGAAGACAGATGTGCATAAGTGGCCTGTGGCCCCATGGAGGTGGAGGGTGTCGAGTGGAAGCAATGAGGGGGTGGATGGAAGCCAAAACAAAGATGTTTCCAGGAATTACGTTAATGCCACAGCGGGATGCGGAGCCTTGTGGAGCCCAGGTGGCTGGTGCTGGGGTTTTCACGGGAGGTGGCATCTGACAGGAGCCCTGTGTGGTCCCCCAGAATGAGGGGGCGCTGGCGTACAGAGGACCGGTGCCAGGAAGGGGCCAGGGCACGGTAGGCCAAGCCGGGCAGGATCAGGGCATGAGGGGCCGACTGAGCCAGACAGACCCAGGTCGCCATCAGGGGCCCTGCCAAGCACACCACGGACGCTTGGGCATCCTGTTGCACTTTGTCGCTGTGAGGTTTGCGGTAGCAAAGACTGGACGGAGCCTGCATCCACCGTGACATGCCCACCGGTCACTGTGTCTTTTAAAAGCAGCAGAGCTCCCTGTGGGCTGCTGTGGCCGATTCTCCTGGATTGTGCCAAGCGCTCAGGCCAGGTGCCGAGGACCAGGGTGCCAGGGATGCCACCTTGTGTGTGAGACCATACCTGTTTGCACGTGCACCCCCAAACCGACTCTGGAAAGATACCCAGGACACCAGTAGGAATGGCAGTGGGTGGGGGACGGGGCTGGGGACCTGGCAGGGCTGGAGGTGGCCTTCTTCCCTGAACCTCTTGAAGGGGGGCTGCATTCACTTTTACATTTCTCAGTCACACGAACCTATCTGCCTGTGCAGAAGTTAAAATTAAAAATACTAAACATTACTGGCTGTCACTGAAAATCCAAGTAGCCTGACCTTGTGGCCATGCAGACCCATCCACGCCCCCCAAGCCCCGTGGTCACAGCGCTGTTGTCCTGGGTGTCCCCAGGGTCTTGCCCCACGAGACCGGTGCCCCAGCTGTGGGTGAACATTCAGAAGAGCAGGGACGGCGACTCCTCCCGGATCAGCCCGCGCGTGTCCCTGAGGCACATCCTTGTTTCAAGAAGTAGTTTTTATCGAATGCGTCAGTGAACCGATGGGTCGCTGGTTCCCGTGACCGTTTTGTGTCCACGTTCCTCACGCGGGCCTCCTTTCTACTGGGTTTGACTCTGGCTAAGGGAAGGTTTTCCATGGTGTGTGGGAGCAGAGCTTTGGTTCTGAGGCATCCCTACTAACACTGTACACCTACCGTGTGCCAGGCCGCAGCTGGGCAGGTGCATGTGAATGAACTTTATCGATTACTATATAAAAAGCGAAAGGGGCTAGAAGGCTGAGAATACTCAGACCAGAACATCTGAAGCCCTGGAGAACCCTGCCGTGTCTCTGTCGCTCTCGTCGGCTAAGATACGCACCGTGCACCGGGGTCCGCGCCGCCCTGCGGGCACTGCACCACCTGGAAGGACGGGCTGGGAGGAAAGACCCCTGAGAGCTCAGGGCCTCCTGGGGCAGGGAGCAAGGAGCAACTGCGGAGACGCGGTGGGTGTGCAGGATCCGCAGGGAGGGGCTCGCCCTGGAGTCAGAGCGCTAGCGTGCTTACTGTTCCTCGCGGCTGCAGTTCAAGTCCCCGTGGAGGGTGCAAACCTTTACAGCGACCTGTAGCTCTCAGTAAGGCTGCTCCTTAAAAACTACGTCTCCAGGATCTGCTTGTGTGTGTGTGGTTTTTAAGACTTTATTTATTTATTTGATAGAGACACAGCGAGAAAGGGAACACAAGCAGGGGGAGTGGGAGAGGGAGAAGCAGGCTTCCCGCGGAGCAGGGAGCC